GAGCGCAAGATTCTCTGCACACACACTCTCTACCCCCAGTGAGTGAGGGGGGGGGCAACGAGGGGTGGTAGACGTGATAGAGTGAGAGAGACAGAGATGAAATGCCCGACATATCACCATAATCTGCACTACTGTAGGTGTTTGGCACACGTTGTACCACCAAATGCAAGGCTGTAAGCGGTATGTTGTTGGAACGGTAACGTCACGCCAGACTCCTGCAAGCACACCCACCCACACACCCGCTGCCCCCCCCCCTGGGACCCTGGACAAGACAGAGACAGCAACAGAGAACCATGCGACAAATACAACTGGCAACATGGGGGTAAACAGCACCTTGCCGTCGGGGTTATCCCTGGGAGAAACAGGAAGCGACTAGACGGCGTCGCAATCGAAGCCCACGATCAATGGTATACAACGTCACCCACCCACCCGAGAAAAAAACATGTTCGCCGAGTGAGCCCCCCACCTGCCCCCCACGCCCCGTCTCCCAACATTGCTTTGAGTCTTACAGAACCGGGGATGTACGGTCTTAACACCACATCAGAAGAGAACCAACCCCACTCCCGCCCCGGTCTCTGCCGCGATCGCTCCTTCCTTCGTCGGCGTACTCTTCCGGCCTGATGCCATTCTACGCTACGCTATGTACACAACGAAGCACGATCGCTTTCGTGACGATCATCAGTATCACTTTTCGCGCTGGTCCATGTACTACTGCTGTAAAATATATTTCTCCCCCTTCACCTGGAACGAGCGGCGACATCCTTCTTGCGCTGTTCCAGGCTCTTGATCTCGTCCTCCTTCCTGGACACCGTCTCCTCCAGACCTGCCGCCGCCGCCGTACACACACAACAGACTTATACCAACAGGACCAATCAACAAAACTAACTGCCCGTCGTTCATTCTAATCGGCGGGATCGGGAGGAGGGCTCGCAATAGGCTGGTGCTGTGGGTCTTCCATATTCACGTGTGCGCTTCCGGAACGTTGCTGTGGAGCTCGAGCTACGAATGGTATCAATCCGGCTGCTGTTGGATGGAACATGCCTGGAACCCACACGTACGAAAGCCTGGTTTACGCTGCACCGCCAACCACCTCCCCAACGAGACGTTCCCACCATTCTCCTATTTTCCTCCCCCCAGAAAACCCGCTTTTGGCGCACTGGTAGCGCAGAACGAGAGCCCCAACAACAGCAGTAGGATGCGTCTCCTGTTCCAACATCAGCGGAGTTTCTACTTTGTCAAAATAGGATCCGTGTTAACAGCAGTCGCCTCCACCGCCGCCGCCGCCGCCTCCTCCTCCCTCTCTCTCACCCTTACTGTCGGATTCGAGTCTGACGATTGTGTCTCTTTGCCCCTCCACCATCCTCTGCAGGGACGACGCCTCATCGCGGGCTGTGGCAAGCCTCTCTAGAGCCGAGGCCTCCTTTGATGCCATCTCGACCTTCGGGGGATAAAAACAAGAAGGGCGAAGGGAGACGGCAGGGAAAAAGCGGAGCGTTTGGTAGACACGACGCTCAACGTTGAAAAGAAGCAATAGCAATATAAAGTGGTGCGACGCAGTGGGGCAAGCAGTACTGCACCTCTGTAACCGTTGGTCAGCAGTACCTCCACAACTGTCATTAATGACAGAGATCATTTACGACAGGGAATCCAGTCCCTGCACGGTCTCGCAGGCTAGCCCAAACAGCTGTAAAACAAGAGAGCAAGAAATGATTCGGACAAGCACGATGAATGCCCACAGCTACTTGGACAGGACCTGCAGGGGAGCCGTGCCCTTGCGTTCTAACCTGGGTCTTTCGAAGCTCCTCTTTGGTCAAGGCTAAGTCTTCCTTCGTGTCAGCCACCTGTGGAGGAAACATGTGTGTAGGCGAGGGGGGGGGGGGGGGGGGAGCACGGGCAGGGCAGCCCGAGCCAGAAACGCGCGACGGAGGGCAGGCGGGGAATGGAGAGTTGCTGTGTGCGCGCATGTGTGCATGCGAGAATAAAATGCCTGGGCGTTGCGTAGGAGAACCAAGAGTCGATGGCTCGCGCGACAATATCCTGTGCCCAGTGATCTTACCGTTAGAGCACTGCTGTTTCGTATCACGGCAAATGATCTGTGTTAAATTCTCTTAACTCTTTCGACACACGGAGCGAGAGGTTTCGCGAAAGGTCGCGTTCGGCGATCTCTTGCTGTCACACTTGCACGAGGTGATAGGTACGCTGAGGAGGGTAACATGGCCCATTGCTCTATGTGCGGCCCGTCTATCCCGGGGGCGGACAACAGCACACCTTTACTGCACAAAAATAATACGAGTAAAACACCAGAGATGATAGACAGGGATATCGACCCGTTTCTCGGACCGAAGAAAAGCCCGGCGGGTTTCTCAATTGGCCGTCGCAACAAGAAGGCGTAGCACAATAATGGCGGGTGTTGTTGTGGCAGCCCAGCAGCAGTAGCAACAGACGCTGCCTTGAGGTTTATTGAATATTCGGGTTGCACAAAATAAGAAAGCAGGAAAGCGTTCGAGGCCCGAGCCGCGGAAGTACCTGCGGCAGCAGGGTCTTGTACCACCTCTACGCCTAGACTATGCATGTTGTTGGCAGTCTCCACATTACTGTGTGTTGCTCAGGCACACCACGGGTGGGCGTTGCTTGTGCCGTGTGTGTATGACATCAGGTCATATGTATGCCACCGGGGTGACAACCAGGGGGGGGCGAAGTGATATGAGGCGTAACCCATGCGGCATAACCTTGGGTGCTGCACCACTGTGTGGCGTTTTCTGTAGCGTGTGTGATACGTGATACTGGTGTTGGTCGTCTTGGATTCTAAGCACTGCCCCCCCGGTGTATTGTATGTACCGTAGGCGACACACAATACAACGCCTTATCACAACCTCTGAAGAACATGACACCGTTCCGTGTGAAAATGATGTTTCAGTTGTGTTTGCCGGTCGTGTCTTAAATGTCACATACGACAACCGCTTTTGGGAGTATGGCATAGGGCTGTGAGTTTGAGTTACGGAAAACGTGCTCGATAGGCAGTGCCGCCGTCGCAGCTCGCGCACAATCTAAGTACACTCCTAGCGCCAACAGCAGTACCGGTATGCGTGGAGTCGCTACCTGGATAGAGCGTGCGCCCGGCCTCACTCACCCGTCTGCGCTGCTCGTCCGAGATTCCCAGCTGCCGCTCCAGCTCCCTCTCTAGGGCCTGCACCCTTACCAGCTGGTGCTCGGACTGCCTCATTGCCTCTCTTCGCCGGGCGTCTACCCGCTTGGCGCTCTCTGCCAGCTTGGACCTGCTGGCCTCCACTTCCTTGAGCTTCTTGTTCTGCGTCGCACGTTACATGGTGTGCGGTGTGTGTTCAGAGCGTGCGCCGGGTTGCACCACGGTTTCTATCGTCCTTTCGGTCGCGCCCGCGTGTTTAGACTGCTGCTGTACTGTGTCCACACGACGGAAACGTTGGCCTGTGTGCACCCACTCCGGTGCGCGACCGAAATTTTGCTCTGGTAGGCGGGTACAGTAGGCCACAACAACAGCAGTAGTCGCGGGACTGCTGTGGTGTATCTAAATCGCGCGTGGTGCGTCGTTTCGTGTGTAACGGTGGAGTCGTCGGGGCAGTCATTGATCATACCGTGAGGAACCGATGGAAAAAGGAAGCACAAGAGAGTAACCCTGCACCAAAAGATACACCGCAGGGGCACGAGCCGGCGTTCTCGTAGCGGCTGCATATGTGTCGTCTGTCCGTACCGCACCCAAACATCCCCTGCCGACCCCCGCCTCAACGGCTCCGCTCTTCTACGCCGAGAGTCGTCCAGTCGACTTCCTCATAGACAACAGAGGGGATGCCAGCCAAGCGGTGGGTCCGCCTTGTTTGCGCCATGCGGACTGCTTGTGCCAGCACCGCCCCGTGAAGCTCGTGTATGTTCCATCGCTCGAAAGGCCCCTTGTGTGCTGTTTGCTATTCTGTACGCATGGGACTACACACATGTTTCGGAGTGGTTGCCAGGAATAAGCGCGCACTCACAGCAGCCCAGAGCACTACGCCGAGAACCTCGGGGCCCAGAATCTGAGGGGTGGGTGAAGCACCGCTCCGTGTGCTGCTGCTGTCGGTATCTTCGAGAGTGTCATGTGGGGAACTCGGTCCCAACGGCCAGTTTAACCGTCCTTGCGCATTTAGCGACGCAGCCAGCAGGCAACACCCATGATAAGACGTTCTCGGGGGAGGGGGCGGGAGGTTTGACTGCACAGACTAAACGAGGCATTCGCAGCGTGTTCCATCCCGATTTGCGAGGAGTGTCGCGACCACACCGCTGCTACGGTTGTGGTGGTGCTGCTGTTGGCCAACTGACGACCAAAAAGATATCCATGGACAACGATGACTACTTACATTCCCCCAACCGACATCCCTGCTGTCTTGTAAAATGACGAGCGGCACTTTATCTGTATGACCAGAAACACTCAGCGGTGGAGGACTCAGGCCGACGGACTTCTCTCGACGCTTGCACTCCACGGTGCTTATTCACTCACGATCTGTTCTAGCTCCGCGTCCTTCTCCATTACCACGTCCACCAGCTCCGCCCCGTTGGTGCCTCCCGCCAAAAACGTGAGCTTTTCCTGGAGGTGCTGCATCTCGAGTTTCAGCTCGAACACCTCAGATTCCGACATGGTCGGCATGGTCGAAGGTGCGAGTCAATCGAAGCTGAATTCTTGCGCTTCACCTCGTTATCTCTCCCTCCCTCTCTCTCTCTCTCTCTCTCTCTCTCTCTCTCTCTCTCTCTCTCTCTCTCTCTCTCTCTCTCTCTCTCTCTCTCTGCTCCCTGTCCCGCTCTCTTGCACAGAACACGCGCATGGAGAAACCGGGCAACGGTTTTTGGGGGCATCGCAGCTGGAACGTAATGCTAAACGGGATGGGACCCACGAAAGGGATACCAGAAAAAAAAAAAAGGATTTGTCTGTTGTGGATCCAGAGGTCGACTCTGTATCCCTGCCAGCTCACTCTGTTTATCCCATATACAACGTTACCGCGTTTTCCGCGCTGGCTTGACGGATCTTGACGGGGCATCATTTTTGGGCCGTGTAACAAACACCGAGGCAGCTGGCAGCCGCGTGGTGTGTCCGCTCATCCGCTCATCATCAACCTGTTCGTTGTTGTTCTGCTTGCTGCTGTGTGTGTGTGGAGGTACTTCCAAAGTTCGTTCTTATTATTCTTGGAGCCACAGACAGAGCCATATCTGTGCAGGTGCGTGCGTGTGTGCACACATGTCATTCATGTAGAAGTGAAGTGTTCCTGTGTGTGTGTGTGCCGTTGACTGGAGATATTTCTTTTCTTTTCTTTTGGTCCAAGGTTGAAATGATGATGACAAATACTGCCTGAGAGGATACGAACGAAAGAAACAGCGGGATGAGAGCAAGAGAGAGAGAGCGAGAGTGGTTGGGACGCAGCCGGGGCGCGCACCTGTATGGACACACGCGTGGTGTTGTAGCTTTAGTCTCATGGTGCCGGCCGCTGCCGCCGGCGCTGCGGCGTAGATCACCCATCTGCCTGCAAAATTTGAATGGCGTGGAGAAACCCCTTGGACCCTTGGATGTGCGGTTGGGGTGGCGACTCGAAATTAAGGCTCTTTCAAACTGGGGCATGAACCCCTGACCCCTGTTTGCAGGGGCGGAAAGAATTGTTAAACGGCCTACCGATTGCTGACACCCCCACACTACCACTACACACAGCAGCTGAAGGAGGCAGCTACAACACAACCCACCCGAAAACCGGTGACGTTCTGACCTTCAACAATCCCAAAAAAAGGTTTTTGCAGGAGAGGGAAATTCCCTGCCGCCGCCGCCGCCGCTCCTCATCGTCGTCGTCCTCCTCCTCCTACCCCGTGCTGCCCCTTCGCCACCGGCGAACACCCCGAAATTCCCGACGGCCGTCGCTATTTCATCTCCTTTTCCACCGGATCTATCAATCGATCTCTTCTTTTCGCCGTCTCTCTCCGTCCGTCTGTCTGTCAGTCTGGCAAAAGAAAGCCTTTTTGTCTGCTGTCTGGACGACGTCTGGACGTGTGTATGCCTCTACCGGCGCTGCTGCTGCCCTTCGCGAAGACGCGAGCTCGCCTCCTCGAAGCGCCTCCCTCGGCACGACCGGGAGCTACGAGTAACACGATGAGCTTCGGAATGGAACAGGTGATTTGGAGTGCGCGGCACTAAGGCGTGCGTTGTTGTTGTCGTCGTCGTCGTTGTTGTTGCGATGGTGAAGGATTTTTTCAGCCTGCTGGTGTTTTTTTGCTTTTTGTTCGTGTGTTGCCGCCGGAATGATGAGGGACGCCAAACCCCCTCGGTACAGGGACAAGGAGATTACCTGCTGCTGCTGCTCGTGTGTGTGTGCTCAGTTTTAGGAACTCGTGGCCCGCTTGCTTTGCGGGTCGCTCGTTCGCTACGGCGGTGCTGCCTCGCGTGCGTTGAGCGCTGAAGCCTGTTTGGTACGTTGTTTACTCATCTCTCCTTCCGGACCTTTCGAACACAAGGTCAAAGAGTAAAAAACGACCCGGCTGGTTGGAAATTTTGCGCGTTGCATAACACAGGTCAGTCAGTCATCCTTCGGCTCCTGAAGAAAAGCTTAGCCCCCTTTGCCAGTTAGATTGCCGTTCAATTGAGCACGCCGCGCGGCAAGCACGCACCATCGCAGAGCGTTTTTTGGCAAAACCAAGAAGCGGATCCTTGCCGCCTCCTTTTGAATGAAGACGGAGTATCATGCCATCTTGTCGGTGTGTGTCCCACGCATCTCCTTCTCGTAATCATCTTGTGATATTGTGTGCGTCCACTAGAGCTGTAAAAACTGCGACTGCTCTGCTGTAGGTCGTAGCTTTCGTCTGGGCCTGCTGAGGCCACCACCCCCCTCGCGGGCACTGGCAACCGCTGCTGCTGTGTAGTGTCTTGCTCGCCGCTGTATCCCACCGCCTCTTCCGAGGCCATATGCAAGCAAGTGGCACTTTCGACCGTTCATCTGTCTGTCTCCCCCTCTACCAACAGCAACAACACACACGCTTTCATTGTTTGCCGCGCCGCTCGATCCGATCCGCTGCGTCGTCAAAAAAAAATTTTCGCATCATCACAACAATATAGGCCCGCGAGAGACTGCGACAAGCAACTGCTGTCTGCGCCTCCGTGGAATCAGGATACTGGCAGCACCGCAGCAGGGTCCATGACAAGGTGTGTACGGGTATGGTGGGGGGTGACAAGAGGTACGCATTGGCGACCGGTCAGGATGATCCATGATCGGTGTTTGCGGTTGGTTGTTGGCGTTTGCAGCGGGACCGAAAGGGGCAGCAAATCAAGCGGTAAAATATGTGCGGGTAGCAGACAGAACGTGGACGTGTGTATGTTTTCGTGTTACTTTTTTTTGGGTGCTCACACGCGCACTCGATCTTTTTTTTCCGTTCTGGTGACGTGCTAGCACGCCACGCCACGATTGCAAGCAGCACAGCTACATAACTAGCTCCCTCACGGGTGTGTTGTATCTGGGCAAGTGTGATCGCGATGATGGTCTCCACGGAACGAATGAATGTAGTACGCCTTTGCTGCGGAAAAGTTAAATCTTCTTCATTTTTTCCAAGTGTACGGTGTACAAAGGCCTAGAAAATATAATATTCATTCAGTTCCTGCGTGCAGTCCACGCACCACAGGTTTGATGTCCCCCTTTTTTTGGCCATGGCCCCAAGGTCCCCCTCTAGGAGCGGAAGTGGCTGAGGCTTTCCCTACGTTTAGTTTCCAAGCGTGACCAGCAGTAGTAACTCTCTGCGATGATTTCGGTTGGTGCATGCTGCTCCTCCTTTTGCGCCATGCTTTGTGTTCATGGATCCGCGGAAATTCATCTTCATTTATTTGTTGAAAATATGAAAATATCATTCTGCAGGGCGGGCGGGGGGGCGGCGAGCAAGCAAACTACAAAGCAGCAGTATAGGAGACACCAAAAACTTTTGTACATTCGTTTTGTGTTCTTTCGTTCGTTGCGACGATGTCATATCCTCGCCTTCCGCTGTCCGACAATCATCTAGGCAACGAATCTATTGAAGAGCAGGTGGATTCTATTCCGGATTGAGAGCACGACGATTTCTGTCGTGAGGGTATGCACCACAAAACAAACAAATACAGTACGATTAGAGGGCCGTTTAGCGGCTGCTGAACTGAAGCCGCAGTGGCCGGTGGATTTTCCTTTGGAGTTTTGGCGCCGAGTTGTAGCGCAAAAAGTTCGTTACTCATGCAACATCAGCGGGTCGTGTAAACTTTTTTCCCATTTTAGTCCGTGTTTTTCCGTCTCTTCGCCCGCCCGCCTTAAACATAATAACTGCTTCCTATTATGGCAGCAGACGATCAGGCCTCAGTGATTGCTTACGCGCCCACCCCCCAACACCCCCACGCCCCACGCTTGGTCTACGTGTTGCATGGCGGCAGAGCGCGGCGACGTTTTCGCAGTACAGGGAGCGGTTGGTTGAGGAGAAACACGCGCTTACCGGGGAGGTTTTGAGCCACCTCGGGCTGCAGTGGGTCGCCCCCTCCCACGGAGCGTCGCCAAGGTAACGCTAACGCAGGACAGGTTTTTCACGATATATTTTTCCCCCTTCCTTTCCTTCGAACGTGGCATCGGCCTTTGGGATTGCCTACACAACAAGTATTGTAGCAGCAACACCAAAATTATTCCTAGGCCGTGATTATCTGTGTGGCCGCCCTGATCGGTCCCTTTCGTCGCGAGTGTCCTGCGCGGTTTGTTGTCTGTTGGCCGTCCTCTCTCTCTCGCGTCGCCCGTTGTTTGTTTGTTCGTCCGTTCCGCACTGGTCTCATCTGCTGGTTATTAATATCTCATCTCTCTCTCATCCTCGGCCACGCATGTGTGTACGTCGCTTGCGCGCCATACTCACGCGGCAGCAGCAGCAACAGCAGCCGTTCTGCCGCTTCAACAGCGGGCGAACCACCCGCCGCTGGCAAGTTGTTGCTCCCGCGGCCCCCGTTCCCTCGACCGGCGGCGGTCGACAACCGCTTCCAGCGGGCGAGGATGCCGCCCCCCGCCGCCGCGGGTGGGCGGTCCTCGCGTCTGGCGGACGAGGAGCAGAAGGAGCGCTCGCGTGAGGCCGGCAGCAGTGCCCAGCGAGAGCGGTCGTCCCGAGGGGTTTGGGTGGAAGAGGACCAGTTTTCTTCCAGGGTGCGGCCCGCGCACAAAAACGACGAGAAAGACGCGGTGTGTATGACGGCGGGTGTGACGAGGAATAAATAACTATTTGCTGTGCTGTTTGTCAAATTTATTTTTTGGAAGGCGGAAGGAAAACAAGTAATAGAAGCAATGGCGAGCCAGCAACGACAAAGTATTCTTCCCGCCCTCCGCCCCCTAGTCCACGTTGTGTTGGGTGTAGATTTCGTTCCCAGCAAGAGGGGTCTCGGCCACGCTACTATAGGTTACGTTGTCGGGCGCAGAGAAGGAAATGACGACGTTTTCGAACCCGCTGCCTTCTGACCTTCCTGACGGAAATGGGTTCTTTAGTTCGTGTTTGGACTTGACCGGAAACCGGAGGGTTATGCACATGGGTCACATCTCTCCGTCGTCTTCTGGCTCCGCCTGTCCTGTTCCCTTCTGCACGTGTGGCCGGGCCAAACCATTTCCCGTGCTTTTCCCAGAACTTTCTGACCGGGATCCAAAGAAGCGCGGCCATCGTTTGCGTGAGAGTTTTGCCGAGGAAGGCGCCGCCGCGTCTCCGTCTCTGAAACGACAACGGCCTTGCCCCTTCGTCTTACCAGTTCCCTTGTTTGCCCGCTGTGCGCGATCTCCCATGTATACAGCAGGAGCAAGTAATTGTCTCTGCTGCTGAGCGAGGATACCAGGCAGCTTCCACGCCGCCGCCGCCGACCGCCCAACAGCAGCAGCAGCAGCAACAGCAGCGGCAGCAGCCCAAGGACCACCTCCAACACCCCGATGTCGCGGCGCGGTACGGCGGCAGCAGCGGCGCCACCGCGGATCTGGGAGGCCGCAGCCGCCTGTGGAACACGGAGAACGAGGTGCGCAGTCCTGCGGCCGCCGTTACACCCGCCCCTGCTGGCCCCGGCAGCGACGGTGTCGTCGGCGATAACGGTGCTCTGGTCTCCCCGCCGCGCCAACAACGCCACCTTCCCCCCACCGCCACGGAGCAACAGCAGCAGCAGCAGCAGTCCGCATGGAGGAAGCTCAAGAAGCTGGACCACCATCACCACCACCCGCGCCAGATATCGCCGTCGCTGGTGTCCACGCTGCCGGCGGTGCTGGTGGAGACTGGCCCGCTCCCGCCGCTCGCCGGCGCCGGCGCCCCCCCGCCGTACAAGCGCACCAGGAAGACGTCGGCCGAAGAGCACCAGGACTTCATGAACGCCGCTGGCAGCGCCGCCGTGACGACGGGCGTCGGGCCTTATCACCCGTTTCTCGGGTCCCCTGAGATGGCGGCGGTGGCGGTCTCCGAGGCGAGCTCGCGGGGCTCGTTCTCGTCGACTGGCTCCTCTCCCGCGCTCCAGCACAACCACCACGGCTTCTACCCGGCAACGGCGGCGGGCGGCGACTTCTCCGCCTCTTCTGCCGCCGCGGACCCGGATCATATCCCCTTCCGCCGCGTGTCCATCACGTCCACGACCTCCCACGACTGGGAGCAGCAGCGCGAGATGCGGCAGCCGCGCGCCGGCGACGTGGACGGCGGAGGCGCCGGCGGCAGTGGCGCTGCCGCCGACCGCGAGGACGCCGCCGCCGCCGTGCGGGTGCTGGGCTTGCGCAACGGGCACGCCTCGGCCGCGGCGGCGGCGGCGGTGGCGGCCACGGAGCCGTTGACGTCATCGGACGCGGTGGTGGCGGGGTCAAAGAGGTTCCGCGATGCCTTCGAGGAAAGTCAAGCGCCGCTGCCGCCGCCGCTGCAGATGTCGCTGCCGCCGGCGGTGAAGATCGTTCGCCCGGGCGGCGGCGCGGTGGGCCCCCCCACTACCATGACGAGGCACGGCAGGGGCGGCGGCGCCCCCAACGGCACCGCCGGCGGTGGCGGCCGACGCCCCTCAACGGGAATGCGCCAGCGGGTGGACAGGAGGTACGTGCGCCTCCAGAAAAAAAAAGAAATAAATAAACGGTCTTTTTGGCAACATTTTGTATCGTACGAAGTACTCGGAGTATGATACATGCAGGAGGAGGAGGCTTCAGGGCGTGAAACTCAGGGTGATGGGGGAGGAGGGCACGGAAAATTGGTGTGTGGGAGGTGCTTTCTTTTGGAGATTTGTCTTTTTGTTTCGCACGTGCGTGTGGCGACGAGGCGGCGGTTTATTTCTTCCACCGGGAACGATGTGCGTCTACGACCACTCGCACTCCACCGGTGGTTGCTGATGATGCAAGGATAGTCCCGCTCTCCCATAAACAAAAACTGTTCATCACATGCCCTTCGATCTGCTTGTGGTGTTATCTCGAACGGATGGATACAAGGCTCTCAGGGATTGTATGGAGTTTCGTTAAAAAAAATCTCTTATCCGAGTATATTGCTGTGGTGCGCAGGTGCGCACAGCTTTTTTGGAGATGACTGACGTTTGTGTCTTGCGCAACAACAACTTGAGCCGGTGATTTTTTGTTGACGACATGTACTTCTCTCTTGGCCCACACCTGACCAAACGGATGAACACGAAGCAGCCGATGATTAACGATCCCGCTTGTCCTTATCTCTTGGCCCACACTCGACCACAAACGCGTGAAAAAATCGAAGCAGCAAGGAGACCGGGACTACAGTCGCGCCCAAGGGCGCGCAGGCATGCAGGGACGTCGGGTGCCACCGCCGCCCCATCTACGCCTTCAAGGGTGACACGAAGGCTCTGTGCTGCCCGATCCACCGGTACGCAAATGCATTCAATCAACGAAAATATTCATTATTTCCCAAGAGGAGCACGTACACATGACGCCGGAGCGGGCTGTCGTTTTTTTTTTCCACAAGACTTGATACGCCAGAGCACCGATGGGTGATCGGTGATAGTCGCGTGTAGGCACGCCGGGGCCGGGCTCGTTCCTCCTGGCGGCTTGTTCATTTTTTTCAGCGGCGTTGAAGTTTGCGACTTTCCCGCACATGGGGATAAGGTCCCGAGGGGTGGTTGTCGTGTGAACAACCCCGCCCGTGATTTCAATCATGCCGGTAAGCTAAAGACGAACAGCATTCATCGGCGAGCAAAGTCCCCCGCGCGCTCGTCTCCGCCGACGCCGCCCCTGACGCCGCAATGTTTGTTGGAGCTTGTTGTTTGCGATAATCCCCCTCCTCTCGGTCCTTCCCTCTCTCCCTCCGTCCCCTCTCCGCCACAGGTCCGCAGAGATGGTGAACGTGAGGCATCCTCTGTGCCGTCACGAGTCGTGCTTCCGCCAGCCGAGTTTTGGGATGGAGGTACGCTTACATCGCCGAGAGACATGGACCCACATGAAACGCTGCCTTCACCAAAAGCACGCTCTCTCGCTTGCTTGCCGTTGACGCCTAGTAGGTAGGGCATTTTTTTTGTGGACAGACTACGTTACGTTGTAGTCGGATTCGTTTGGATGAGCCCTCCTCGCCCGCATCTAGAAACGAGCTCTGACGACCATCGCCGCGCCGTTCGGTGATAGCTAAGGTTACCACTCGCATGCCGCCTAGGTTGTCGGCGAGACCCGCGCGGTGGCCAGGTTAGTTTAGGCACACACCCAATCCCTCTCCCGCCTCCCGCCCGTCACGACCTTAAACTTGTGTATCTCGTAGCTCCTTCCCAGCAAGTTCCTGCCTCGGCGAAGGGTTTTGAACGTTGACCCCTTCACCGGGTGGTACACCCCGCAGCCCAAACCTTACTTACTCACTAACGCTATCATTCGTGTTCTCTACGCGTTGGTTCCCTTTTCGGGTCCTGATGGAGGGAGTGCCCGGGGATTTGAAATGGCGGTAAAATTATGTCTGTAGAACGCAGGCTGCGTCGAACTGACTTGACTGCCAGCTGCCAGTTGTGGCGTCTGTCTCCCAGGCTCGATGGCTCGCCCCGCTGACGGGGTGTTCTTGAGTCGAAAAGTCCAGCAAACCTCAACGAAAAAAAAAAAAAAGTCTGAGTACACAATAGTCTTACTCGGACACTGGTGCCTTCCCCCCCTCCGGGGTGACGTGTGTTTCCCTGGTGCGTACAGGGTGACCAAAGGGCTTCCTTCTGCTCCGAGCATAAGCTCCCGAAGATGATCAACGTCTCCAGCCGTCGTTGCCAAGCCACCGGCTGCCTTCGCCACCCGAACTTCGGCTTCCAGGGCGACCGCAGGGCGACCTTCTGCTGGTGAGAGCGCCAGAAACAGACGCGCAAAGTGTTTTGTGGAACCTAGGAGGACGCGTTTTCCTACCTTCCGTCAGTGATTTTTTATGGCTTTTATCTTTGTTGAATACGTCTTATATTATCGTATGACACGTCAATAGTCGATAGTGACAAGCAACGGGGTGGGCGGGCGGAGGGTGCTGATTCTGCTGGTCAGGACACAGAACATCACTGCTTTTCCCGTAGGGATCGGACACACAGCGCCATTGACTGCTTGCGGAGCTTGTTCCTTCGCTATTCATATTATATTACCTCTCACCATGCCCGCATTTGTTTTCCCGACTGATGTGAAAGCAAGGGTCTTGGTTTTTATGCGGAAGTTCTAATAGGTCCGCGAACCCCCCCCCCCCCCACCTCCGCGCGTCTTCCTGTACCCGTCAGCCGGCACAAGGCGACGGGCATGATCGACGTCGTGAGCAGGCGCTGCCAACACCCGGGGTGCGTGCGGCGGCCTCTGTACGCCATGGCCGGCCAGCGCGCCATGTTCTGCAGGACTCACAAGGACCCCGGCCACACCGACGTTGTCAGCAGGCGCTGCAACTTCGAGGTCAGTTTTTTTTTCGGTGTATCGCGCTTGTCTCTCTCTCTCAGGCGAAGAAGATGTACAGAGTGGCGTGGCAAGGCTTGGGGGTTAGAAAACAAGGGACCACGGTTGATTCAGAAGCGAACCAAGATCACAACTGAAATCGACACAGCAGTGTATTATCTTCCGGCTTGGAGAGGTATAAATGCTTGCTGACCATCGGAACGACTTGTTGAGAAATATTGTGGATTCGCCTCGCCACACCCAAAAAAATTGACTCACCACATCCCGTTCTACTGTGTTTTTTCCTCGAGGGGGGAGTCATTCTTTGATTGTGTGCATGTTTTGTAGAAATGTCGTGGACTCGCTTTTCAACTGCTTCGACCGAACGGACGAATGAACGAACACCACGTGATACCGATAATATCCCCCAAACATACCACAGCAGTCTTTCTTCGATTGGATGTAATTTTCCCAGAAATAACGTGGACTCGCATTTCGACTGTTTCGGCCGAACGAACGAACGAAAAACCAGCGTGAAATCGACGCGAACACTAAACACACCACTTACGTGCCTTTTCTGTGTTGGAATTTGTATATTTTCTTAAAACCACCTCAGGGCGGCTGCGACCGCCACCCGAGCTTCGGCTGGAAGCAGGGCGACGGCAAGGCCAGGCGCTGCGCCCACCACCGCCTGGAGGGAATGGAGAGCGTCAAGGTCAACAACCGTCGTGGCAGTGCTGCCGCCGCAGCCGCTGCCGCCGCCGCCGCCGCCGCAACCGCCTCGACACCAGCGCAAGCTTGGTAGAGCCGGATCGATTGGCGACAACGGTGGTTGCACCGGCGGCGTGCTCGGTAATTTTTTCTTGAGGAGGAGCGGTGAAGTTACATGACACCGCCGATGATTGGCATGTTGAGACATGGATAGGTCACCTTGCCCTTCGGCACTGGACCGCGCGTATGCGTGAGGACAGGTAGCTCATGGCTTGTTTTAGGGCAGCGGTAGAGCCCGTGAAATGGCATGATGATGTGTCGCAGGTGGTTGCGGTTCGGGGAGCTGTAGCGAGGCGGCCCAATAGTCTCTGGGAAAAATGAAGACAAAAGAAAAAGCGCGTATTCAAAGACTTTGTTTCTTGTGGGAGGGGGTTTGGATTACGTGGACGATCTCCTTTGTTGTTGTTTTCGGCACGATGTGATTGTAGAGCTTGTTTGTTGTTGTCGTGGTAGGAGATGCGCAACTCCTCTTCTTATTTTGTTTCTTGGGATGGCTTTACGAACTGGCACCATGTGTTGGGGAGGGTTTTCTTTTTTCTGCGGGAGAAGGACCGTGACCCCTACTTTTTTATGTTTTTCTTTTTGCTGGGAGAAACATACGCCGATGCGTACAGCGCACGGCGAAGAACATATGTGTGTGTGGTATATGTATATGCATCTATCTTTTTGTTCTTTCATGGTTGACACTTTGCAGTGTCCTTTTCGTTTTTTTTGCCTTTGTGAATGAGTGCAACATATAAAGGCAAAAACTTTTTTTTTTTAAGATGAATTTCTAATGTAGAAGAGTAACTAAGGCGGGGGCATTTCCCCCTCTTGTTGTTGTCGCGCTAGCACAAGTACAGATATCGTGGGGTACGAGAGAGAGAGAAGGAGAGAGAGGGGTGATCAACCGGTTCATAAGTTGTTCGTGGGTAAAAGGAGTACTATCAGTCACTGCTTGGTGCGCCACGGACCTAGACTTTTTTAAAGGGATGTGGGGGAGGTAAATCAATCGTGTTGTCTTGTGCGTAGCTTTTTTTTTTTTACGAAAGTCAGTCGTGTTTCAGTTGGCTGTAAAGCGCCCCGCGGCGTAACAATATATAAACTCGTGGCATGGGTCGAACGGTGTGCAACGTTCTTCTGTGTCCATACGTTTCCCTCGACCACCAACGGAAGGCTGGGAGCCGGATTGACGGTCTTCTTTCTGGTTTGATGGGAGGGGGCACCGTGCTTGCGAGGGTTGTTGTGCCGCACAAGAGGGGGGAGGAGAAAGTGAGAAGATGATCTGAAACGAGAGTGGCGGTCGACGTTTCTCTACAAATTGTTTTGGGCGTTGTGACGGTAAATTGATCTCAACTGCCTGTCTGGTCTTTTTTTAGGCACCGGGACCGATGGTCTGTTTCTTGTTCCTCGTCTCCCGACCGTGCTGTTTTTTTGTATCATAGTTTAGTTTCGGGGGTTGCGTGTGTGTGTTTTGCGCACTACAGCAGTAGTACTGCCATACTGGATACTTGAATCCTCCGCCTTTCCTCCGTTCTTTGTTTTGTGGTTTTTTGGTTCGTGTCCCGATGTAATTGCCTTTTCTTTTTTTAGTTTCATGTTTGTCTTGGGTGTTTGTAAGGCGTGTGCAAGAGAGAGGTGTTAGGTATAAAGTAGTCTGGTTGGTTCTTATCGTGTACATCGCGGGGATCACTAGCGGACGTGTCCCCGCTTTCATCGTGCCGCATAAGCTTTGTGTGTGTCCCGTCGTTCGTGTGCCGTCGCTGCGCGCTTGGGCAAGTGCGCAGGGGGTGTATGCTTGTCACGGACAACAACGTTACGGTTGGGGAGAGGCTGTTTTCTTTGGGCTGAAGCTATATTTCCAGTATGTGCAAAAAAAAAGGCACATACTACCACGTGTAGTGTGTTGGTCGTTTTGCAAAATGTATGACGCGTGTGTTTTTTTTTCTCCATTTAGCATATCGACTGACCGCGATTGACAAAACCGGCTGACCAATGAAAAGACAGACGTCGTCGGTAATGCGTGCGTGTGTGTGTGTTCCTTGTGGTAGGTACACCCGGCTGGCCTCATCATCATCTCCACCGCTCTCTTGCAGGGCGGTGTTGTTGTCCTGTTTGTTTGGGGCGTTTTACGGGTGGGTCGTGCGCGTGAGAATCAACATGTAGGCGCTTCCTTTTTTCCCAACTGGTCTCTTTTCTATTGTTCCATACAAATATTCGAGTCGTTTAGATCCCGTTGGTCCCACCCCTCCTCACATTTTCATCAGGGAATGAATAGTGGTTGGCTGTGTTGTCGAGACTTTGTTTGCGCGGAACGCGGAAGTAATGTGTTCGTTGTTTCTTGTCGTTCTAGTCGAGGTGTTGCGGTCGGGCGGGTAAAGTCACCCATGCCCCCGTTGTTTTCAGTGATGTGGTGTGTATATATGTGCTGGAGGCGTTTTTTTGGAGGGGGGCTGAGGCCCTCCCAATCTATAGCACTCGGTTCAATTTTTATTCCGAGGGATGTTGATTTAACCTGCGGCCGATCTTCATGTTTGACGCACATACATCAAGTTTTAGCGTAGTAGGCAAAAAAAAGTGTCAAAGAACCGTTTTTCCATGGTTGCTTTTTTTTTTTGTTCCACACCCGACAATGACAACATCATGGGACTGGCTTGTGTATGCAAGGTAAATAGGTGGTGTTTTATCCTACCGCCGTCATTCTTTGTCTGGGTTAGATGTACCAGATCATATATATGGAATTAGGATAATGTCGTGAAGCATCTTAGTATATTAGAGCGTACTACGTGCGGCGTTTGGAAGCAGGCTTTGGGAGATGAGATTGTCTTAGCCTATGCGCTGCCTCCCAATATACAGGGAAGACCGACCTTCGTAGTGCAGGAGGTGTTTCTAGAGTGCTTTCTCTCGCGGTGTTTTTCCCAGCGATGTTGTACGTGATTTTGGCCCTACCCACGTATGTATGTATGTGGCGGTGGGTCTTGTGCGTGATGAGGCGTTTTTTTGGTCATCCCCCAGGTTTTCCCGCTCGGAGATTGTGTGCTTGTCATGTCTAGACTCGGCTTTGCAGCTCGGCGTGTTGGTGTTGTTGTCATAATAAGAACACGCGTGCGTTTGGTTGTAGAGCAAGGTTGCGGCTTGCATGTGCGTTTCGTGTTCCGCACCCCCTTACGTAAATTAGTCGTATCAAATTGAGGGGGAATGGAGGGGGGTGATGAACAAGAGAAAGCATTCTTCTTATTCTGTGGAAGAAAACGGTTTCAGCGGGGGATTCGGGGGATGGATGCACATGGAACAGTGTTGAGCGCCTCGTGACGGCCCAAACAATAAACAATGCTTCCCGTGAGTTCGGCGCTCGCTTGACCCCGTCCATTCCGTGTTCAAGGAGCGAACTTCGTGGTACAGTACCACAAACGATGGGAACGATAATAATGCCCAGTTGCAGCGAGCAACCAGCTCGAGCAGCCACCTTCTTCCTGGCTGCTTCAGCTTCAGCCTGGCTGGTTTTGCCGGCCGTTCTTGCTGCCGTTCTTGCTGCTTGTACGCATGTGCCCCCCCCCCACCGGCCCCCTACCCGCTCTGGTCAGGCAGGCTTCGTAAGTCAACAAGCGGCTGGCTCTCTCTGCCGAAAGCTCTGGACCAAACAAAATGTTCGTTCTGACGGCGGCGGCGTTTCGGTAAACAAAGGGCCGGTGGCTCGGACCGTAGCTACACACGAAGTGACATACGCTGCTTGATTCACTATATGTATCTTTACTGTAGTTGTTGTGTCTTGAAGCCGTCAGCGGCGGCAGAGATCCAAGGGCCCCAAAGCCCTCTTGAACGACACATTGTCACATTATTAGTCTTCCAGAAGGACACGCCTTCGATCCGAAGACAGACAGACGCCGTTGAAGTTCATCCAGCAGAAGGACGTCACGTTTGTTATCATCATCATTTCGGGTATGGACCGAGGACTTCCTTACGATCATGGCTCGCGGAGGGGGGTGGAGCAAAGACGCGCACGTAGCATTTATACCCACGTGACGTGTTCTGTGAAGCGAGAGTGATTAGACCATATATATATGTGATGTGCGTGCCGCTTTTTTTTGTAGGATTGAAACGGCAGCGCGCGGGGGAGGAGGAGAGGAGGACAACAAGCATGCCAACATGAATGAGCATACATACATACATACGTTTGTTGACAACTGTATGTATATGTGGCGTTCTTCGTCGGTCGAGTGTGGTTGGTTATAGACAAAAAAAAATGCAGTAGTAGTTCCATCCTATGGTTGCCATGGGAATATATATACATGTAGTGAAATCATCGTAAACAGCAGTCAGTCGTGCTTGTTTGCTTCCAAACATTGCAAATGTGAAAAGAGGGGATCGTCCTCGACGGACGTTGGGGAGTTTCTGCCTTTATGAAGGTGGTCTCCACATTACCCCCCCCTTTTTTCGAGACTTTTTCTTGTTTTCCAGGCAAGAGAAGTCTTCTTGGGGTAACCGGAACCCGACCGGCTGGCGGCGGGGCGATTCACATTCATTCCTCACAATCCTCTGTACGTGTTTTACGGATTCGCTACGTCCGCCACGTTTGTTTACAGAAGAAGTTCCGACTTCGATAGCCAGTGCGTCCTCCCGTGGCCCACCCACCGTTTTTCTTTTTCCGTTTTCCGGAAGAAAATTTGGTGACCAGCGGGTGTTGAACCCGTGTCTTTTGCAACCAAAAGCAGACACCCTGACATCTCTTCGTCGACGCCATTGTGAAAAGCAAGTTGATCACTAAAAGTGCTTCGTTTTCGTAGGTGTCCTGGCAGATACGATTTAAACAGTAAACCGTCTTGTAGTTCCACATGACCTCACAGGTTTAATGATGCACGCATACCATGATCACGCTCTTTCGGGTGGACATCTCGCATTTCGTCCAACGTACGAAAAAATACGACAAAAATATTGGTGGCAGTCGATGAACCGTGACATACGGAATTGGTGCCTAGAATGCCAGGCCTGTCAACGGAGAAAGACACCCCACCGCCGTCCGAAACTGCCGACGGGTCATGTACCTGTACAGCGGCCATTTGAAAGAGTATCAGTCGACCTAGTCGAGTACAAATCGCTCTCAACGTCAGCAGTCGGAATGAGATGTAAACACATACATACGTGCTTTCCATGATGGATCGCTTAATTAACGCGTTATGCAATTCTCACACCAGTTCCGAACAAAACTGCTGATACCGTGGCACGTGTAATCATTGATCGGATTATCAGCATCTTTGGCCCGCCAGAAATGCTACACTCTGATCAAGGCACGGAATTTGAAAACAAGATCATCTATCAGTTGCAAACAATCTTGGGCTACAAGAAAACACGCACGACGCCGTATCGTCCGCAAGGTAATTCGGTCTCTGAGCGTGTTGTTAAGGAGTGTGGCTGCTAGCTTAAATAGGGTACATCTTATTGTTGATAGGATGTGGGTCGGTCTCAGGAGGTATACCCTTCAGACACCTACCCTCTTAGGATTTTGTCTAGTCTGCGTACCCCCCTGAGGTGAAGTTGGATCCCCACTTCACCTCAGACCCTTGCTGATCGTCTCTCAGCAATAACAAGCAACTTTCTCATCTCTACGTGATCGTGGACAAGCGTGTCAACGACAGAACCTACCTTCATCTATCTCTAGGAGCAAGCTACCACCCACGGTTTCCCCTCCTTTAAAGTGTGCATTCAACGATGCATTCCATGCTCGCAATGCATAGATAGTTCCATGGATCGTGACAACTGGGCGGAACTCTTGCCAATGATTCAACTAGCAGCGTATAATACGCTTTTTAAATAACCATGCATGAGACACCGTACTTCTTGATGTTTGGTCGCCAAGCACGGTTACCGGTGGATGTAATTCATTCTCGGAATTCCACATACATGTAGGTTCAACTGCAGATACCGAGAGTTTTGCTCAAAACACACAAGAATATCTACAAATTGCTTTCGAACTAGCGCGAAGAAACCTAACGGAACGTGCAGAGAAGCAAGCTGCGAAAAACGAAAAGTTACCGTAGTACCCCGTCTTTAAACCTGGTCATCAACAAGTACTGGTATACCGACCACACCACCAGGATTCAGATGGGCCAAATCCGAAGCTGTTCTTACCTTGGCGAGGACCGTATGTCATCTGTTCACAACTGTCACCGGTTGTGTATAGGGTGCAGCGAGTCAATGAAACACGAGAAATATCCGTGCACCTTGCCCATCTAAACAGTATACCATAAAAAGGAAAAACCACCAGCACCACAGTTTGAAAAACTGGCTGAATGATTCCTTGGGAAACAAATTCCCTTACCTGCCCTGACGGCAAACGACGAAAGAAAATCAACCGAAAATTGAAAGATACGTCGTACTGAAAGTGGTAGGGCATCGAAGTGGTCAAGGCCGAAAAGGTCCGCACAACTATCGATATCGTCTAAGTAAGTGAGACTGAAAGGATACGGTCCTGAATCAGATCTGATGTATCGTGCCGACGAAGTGCCGCAATGCCACGAAATGATCTCCACATTACCCCCCCTTTTAGCCAACCTCCGGTGGCAGGACATAGCCACCACACTCCCGGACTCTCTGCTCAGCCAGAGTAGAGGGCTTCCATACAAATCTTCGTTCAAATCACCATGTAGTCTATGTAATACAGCAGTATGTGTCTTCGGCGCGGTGCGTTTTGAATCTGACGTCTCTCAATGACAAATGTCTGTACGGCGGCGCTGTGGAAACTGTACATATTATCCCAGATAATGTGTGTCTGGATGTCCGAGTTCTGAGCTTCGTTGGTTATAGATCTCGGGCAAGAGACAATTTTGTGGCTCCCTTGCAGCAAGATGTACGTACACACGCTGCTTGCTGCACAACAAGTTACGCTCATCTGTGCATACTTGTCAGAGAGAAGTTACACACTGCTGCTGTGATTACATAACAAACTTGCAAGCCCGTCACCCTACCTAAAGTAGTCCACAGGTGATTCGATCTGCCGCCCAAAAAGGATGACCATGATGGGTCGATCGCTGACATCTACATGTAGATCTTCAACGAGTTGGTCTTGCGTTGGCTGCACCGCCCTCACCTTTCAAAAAGAAAGTTCTGCCAAAGCACCAGCCGACAGGCACATCATGTCGGTGCGGGACTCGTGTGTCTTGATCTTGGCAAATACCGTGAGGTAGAGAGAGTTGGTCCGTACAAAGAGGTTAGGGGGGCACAGCTATACACACATCCCCCACGCACAAAATAGCTCAGGCTACAGTAGTAGTGTAGCACTGTAGCACTGCAAAGCGATTTCAACATGACACCTGCTGCTGTAGATACATTCCTCGAACCCACCACATCGGGTATAGACACCACGATTTCTGGCAGTGAACCCGGAACAACAGCTTCTGTGGTGTAGTGGTTAGCATTCCTCATTTGGGTTGAGGAGGTCCTGGGTTCAAATCCCAGCTGAAGCCGTTTTTTGCCTCTCGTGCACAGATCCTTTTTTTTTGTCGTCTCCCTCCGCTCCATCTCCTGAGCACGCATCGATGTATATCGAGCTCGTCATCATGGTCCTCGCTGACGCTGTCGGAGGAAGCACTTCACAGCAATCATTCATACCTTTCCGTACTTTTATCTCTCTTCGCAACTCTTGGGTCTAATTTTGTGCCGCGTTTGTTTCTGTTTCAAGAGTCCCCGCTTTTTGGGAGAGAGAGCAACAAAAAGAAAATCTCGAACGGTTTGGAACGAACGGTAGTTTTTCTGTTAAGATTATGTTTACTTTCTAAAAGAGGCGAGTGGGTTTCTTGCCGCCGTAGGATCCGCCGCAAAGATTTGGTGTCAGTCACATGTGCATCTTACAGCAGTAGCACCATGCAACGAAACGCCACTTTAACCAGCATGCATGGTGGTGGCCTCCTCTCCGCGTTTCATGAATCACGACGGCGGGGTTCAAAGCGACGACGGGGCAGCAACCGCCTCCACTCACCCACTTCATTCATTCATTCTCTGCCGACATCCCCGGAATGAAAAACACGGCGACACCTCGTTTTGCCTGACGCGCGCGCGCTCCTTCCTCCGTCGGGAAACCTACACGAGGTTGTAGGCTTTTGTACGATGTCTGGTTCAAGGTATTTACGTTCACTCGATGTGTTTTAACCCTCGAGCTCTCAATGAACTACAGTAGCACCGAGTGCTCGAAAGTATTATAGTCAGTGGTAGTACGTGCTGTGGTTATACCCTCAACACAATCATTACCAATCCCGATGTCTTAAAGTTAGCCTGACACAATCACAATCAAATCCCCCAAGTCTTCATCCCGACTCGCCACCTGGCGTCGTTCGTGCAGACCGCATTGCAGCCACAAAGCATGCGCACAAGAGGCATCGTATTATTTTTGCTCTTCTTGGGAAAGACCCTGACGTATTCATTGGATTGCCATCACGTGGTTTTAAGATTGATTCCTGACGCAAGTGAGCGTGCCTGAAATCGAGGCCAAGCTGCTGTTCAGCCGGTGCTCCCGGGTAGAGAGCAAGACTCCTTCTTGACTTCTTCACCACCTTCGGCAGTGTCAAACACTCTCTACCCGTACGCGCCTCCACACGTACATTGGAACGCCCAAACCATCGTCTCCGGTAAGTAATTCACACCGCGCTCTTTACACACACACACACCTTGTTTCAGGATGTTATGCGTACATCCTTCTCTCGGCTACAATATACATATCGCGCAATTCATCCGTATCACACCGTATTGCACACTGGACTACAATACATACATTTTCCACACCGCGAATCACCTCTATTTGCTGTACGTTGATTCGTGAGCGCAAAAAAACTACCATATCATGGTACACGGTATCATTGCACATTTTTCCGATGAAAGACACCAGAGACATTCACACATACTGTCCACCCTGGAACACTACTGCGGCAATGGACACACCACGCGCTGAATCAGAGCTACTTTTACAAACAAACTCTTGTTTGTGCGCGTCACGCATTTATTTCCACAAGGACATTTATTTGCTGCATTTTTACTTTTTTGGTTTGGCGAAGAAACAGCTCCGCCATCCCTCCGATCCGTTCCAAACGGACGGAGAGAAAGAAGAAGCAGGTGCAACGAACGCTCAGGGCTACACACAGCCGGACGCTACTGCAGCTATTACGCATCTTCCCCGCGGCCTTCCATCTGGATGGTACGGGCGGCGGGGGCTGCGGCGGCGGTAACAAAAGTGCCTGCCTGCCTAGTAAGCTCCCCTTCTGCGCGGACTCTCGCAAGTGGCACGCAGTTACGTGATTGGTCAAAACGAAAACAGACCGGCCTTCCCTCCCCCCTTCCTGCCGCCGCCCTTGCCCCCCCCCCCGCCGCGGTTCTCGAGAGCCCTCTCCGCCCGGCCCCTGCTGTCCCGGACTTCCTTGGCCTGCTGGCAGACCTGCTTGAGCTTCTGCCTCGCCTGCGCAGCAGTCCTCGGATCTAGTTCCTGTGTATATAGCCGCGAAGAGAGGAGGCAGGAGGGTGAATGTAGGCGCTCCCATTAGTGTTTGAAGCAAATGCAATGGGCGAAGTAGCCCTTCACATTAGTGGTCGAAGCGGATGCAATGGCGGAGGGGGACGGCAGGGGTACACGGTAACATACCGTGCCGCTTTAGTAGCGCGGCAAGCGGTATTGGTGGGAGTCGTACCGGATGCTCTCGTGCTCACAGAGATGCAATATTTGGTTTCTACTGGAGGAAGTGGTTTTACCGTACCGCTTTAGTAGCGCGGCAAGAGGTATTGGTGGGAGTCGTACCGGATGCTCTCGTGCTCACAGAGATGCAATATTTGGTTTCTACTGGAGGAAGTGGTTTTGACCTTGCTGTTGTTCACCGCAGCAACAGCCCTCTCGTTGGAACCTACGTTCGGAGATAGAGGGGGCGATGGGATCTCGGCAAACCACGAAGGGGCCCCGACCGAGCCCCCGTGGCAAGGTGTTCCTCCACACAAACAAACAAAAATCTCAAGTAAAATATGGCACGCACAAGCAGTGTCGATTCCAAAACGTACTTCTTTAGGCTGGGCCCTGAAACCTGGCTGCCTGTGTCCCAAGAGAGAACGGTAGCCCAGCAAACCTCTACACACAAAAAAAGAAAATTGCCGTCAAAACCAAACAACCCCCCCGGGGGCAATAAACAACCTACGGCAGGCGGTATTGTAGGTGGTACGCATACATTCTACGCACCTCGTTGCGGGAGATAGTTTCCTTCAACCGCCCGATCTTTGCCGCCAGCGTCGCCTCGGCCTCGCGGGCCCCGACGAGGTGCGACCTGAGCTCCGCCTGAGACATCCTCGCCGCCGCCGCCGCCGCCGCCGCTCCCCCGGCTCCCGCTCCCCCGCCGTCCCTCTTCTTGTCGGGAAACACCCCAGATTTCCTTAGCGCGTGGGCGGTGCCGGCCCCGGCGGCCGTAGTAGCTGTCGGGATAGAGGTCGAAGTAGCAGCAGAAGAAGAATAAGAAGCCCCTCCCGCATCGAACAGGGGCCGTATTCTCTGCCCGGGGAGCGGCGAGGCAGCCGCTGCTGCGCCGCCGCCCTCGGCTTTCCGCTTGCTCATGGAGGCGTGCATGGTCTTGTTCAGGAAGTTGAACATCCCGCCGCCGCCTCCGCCGCCGCCGCCGCCGCTGCTGCCGCCAGGCTTGTTGTTGTTGTTATCCTTTTTCTTCTTGTTCTTTTTCTTGCCGTCGCCGCCGACGGAGCGCGCCGTCTTGCCCCCCCCGACATCGTCAACTCTCAGGTGGTCTAAGGTCCGGCGCTCGGGTAGAACACGGATGGGAACCGGTCGGGAGATTCCCTGTTGCGGCGCAATTTCGCGAGAGGTTTAGGGGGAACGAGTACAAAAAGGATGCAGGGTCAAATGCCGCCGTATGCTTGCGTATCACGCACGCATGTAGCGCCTTTCAAACGCGCGGTTGAGAAGTGGTCAACCGTCCGGAAAAATCGAGGTCGGGCCGGGAAGGGGAGGGGGGATTCAGAGCTTGTGTGCTGCCTTTTGATGCCACATTGTCAGGCACAACGCTGATCCACACTCGGAGGAAAACTCGTTCACGCTTTTCTCGCTGAAGAATGCAACTACGGGGGGGTGGGCTGGCTGACTAACAAGCGTGGATAGCGGAAATCGGAGGTGTTGTACAGGAGAGGGGAAAAAAACGAAACTCAAAACAAGACATGAAAATACCAAACACGTGCGAGAACAGCGACCCCACGGCCGCCATCGCCCAGCTGTACAACTACCCCAGCTCTCCCTCTTCAACACGCTTCACGCGGCCATAAGTGAGCAAAGTGCACAGAAACAGGCGACAGGTGCACGCAATGCCAAGGAAAACGTTGCCCGTCCGTGGAAGGATGCTACCCAAATAGCCTTGGAACGATGTGGTCCGCGGCCGCAAACGAGAAAGGTTTCATTCAAGATTTTCTCTTCCAGCACCAGTAAGCCGGGCGCTCTCGCCCCGACTACCAACCACGACCTTTCATTTGTCCAACAATAAAGCATCCGCCGCCACGGTCGACAATATAAAGCACCACCACCACCACCACCACCACCCAGCCGCACCCGTAGTAACAACAGGGAGTATCCACCCCGCGTCTAGAAGATAAAAAGAAAAAACGGCTTCAGACAGGCAACGCCGACGATACTCGTAGCATTTGTATATAACAACCACCGATATCGTGTAGTACACGTCTCACCACAAAAAATGAGGGGGACTGCAACCACAATAAACAGGACGAAAACACACAAAACAGAACACTACATCGCTGCACTCTACACAACGCTGCAAGCTTGCACGCACGTGGCACACGGTTCGTCTCGTGCGGACGTCCGGCCGATCTCACCTGCTTCTCCTTGCCGAGCCCTTCCCCGCGCCGGTAGCCCATGCGGTTCATCATCCGCGAGCCGAAGCCCTTGGTGTGCTGCTCCCAGTCGCCGAACATGTAGGCATCCGAGACCAGCGCCGCCGCCGCCGCCGCCGCCGCCGCCGCCGCCGCCGCCGCCGCCGCCGCCCGCATCGCCGCTCCCGGCGGCCCCCCTCGCACCGCCCCCGCCCCCGCCCCCCGCCCCCGCCGGTCCCCGGCGATCCCCCAGCACCCTCTCCTGAAAAAACGCCCCCGCCGTCATGTTACGGCCTCGTTCGCCACCGCGGCCAGCGGCGGCCGTGTCCGCTGCCCAGGCGTCTTCCAGGTCGCTCTCCTCCTCCTCCTCTTCCTCGTGTTCGCCGCCGTCGGAAGACCCCCCGTTCCTGCCGCCAACGCCGTGAATCTCCGGCGCCGTAACAGCGGCCTCGAGCGGCGCAAGGTGGGAGCTGTCGGCGGGAACGGACACCGGTCCATCTGCCTCGAAACCCTTGAAGCGCACGGCCAGCAGCATCGATGACGCCCCCACCCCCGCCGCCGCCGCCGGCGTGGCGGGGCCCTCTGCGTTGGCCTCGTACCACACGCGGTCGTGGTATAAGGCGAGGACCCCGGAGCCAGAGCGCAGGCTCGCGAGCCAACTACTGCCGCCGCCGCCGTCATCGGGAAGCAGGCCCGACAGCGGCACTTCGACGCCGTGAGAGAACGGACAGTCCGGGCCGGAGAACTTGCAGCTTCTTCCCTGGGAACGGAGAGACCAGGGGCATGCATGCGATGGCAGCAGCAGCAGCAGCAGCAGCAGCAGCAGCAGCAGAGGCAACCATTAGCACGTAATGACACAAGGAATCAGCAGCACTAGCGGTGGCGGAGCAGCAGCGACCACCGTCAAGAGATGGCATCGGACGACGACGACAAGGAAGGTTGAAGAAAAAAAATGGCGGGGAAGAAGAACGCCAGGCACAGAGACGGACGCACACCTACAGGCTCCCACACAAGACGGGTACAAAGAAGCAAGGCACAATCGAACAGGAGGAAAACACGGGGCGAGTGCGGACGGGAGAGGCGCTTGCTCGCGCACCCAACGCCCCAACTCTCCCCGGGAATAAACACCGTTGATCACCCGACCAAACTTCCACCCTGTCAGCTATCCACACAATGCGGCAGTTGTTGTGCTTCGGGTACCATCGGTTTGAAAGTACCACACCACGCGAGCATAAGCGTAGCTCCTTAATCTGCTTCTGGATGCGATATATATTCTGTGTTCCAGGGAGTGGGTTTGTACGCGGCACGGGATCAATCAACCTTACGGCGCGGGAGGCAAAAAATGCACACGAGAGGGTTTGGTTTGTTTGCGAGCGAGCAGAGGAGCTTTCCTCTACCGTCGATGCCGAGTGGCGTGGACAAACCTCTGACCGCCAAGAACCGCGGCCTGCCTGCCTCGCATGCCTGTTCTTCGAGCGGCACCCGCTTCTACACAAGCAAACAAATTTACCCCCCTCGCTCGCTCTTTTGACAGAACGAAACCGTCGGCATCGGCCGACCGACCTTGGGGGACAAAACGGGAACAACAACCAACAAGGAAAAAACAAGGACCTTCCCCCCCCCCCCCCCCCCCCC